TTATGGCATTAATCTGGAGACTGGAGACCATAATGGCTTGAATAGAGTGGAATCAATTACCAATTTTCTGCGAAGGGCAAGTGATGAGGCCAGGGAAGCTTCATTGAAAACAGCAAGTCAATGAGAATAGCCCTACAGTTAACCACGAATACAAATTCTAACGTGAACAAATTTGACAGGTGAAATCTGAAGTGGCCTACAAGTAATGACTAATACGTACCCGGTATAACAAACCTCACACCAAAGTGTGAAATAACATACGAACTGACAACATTCAAGCAATTACACGTACAACTCATTAAAAATCTTGTTAAGCCATTAGAAAAGCCTCCCAGTGTCCTTTTTCTTGGAATGTCTGAATTACTGTTCACCATAAATGTTGCAATAATGGTCAAAATGGTTTGGAAGGCACAAAGACAGGCAGCTGGAATTTTCCCATCTTATTTTGCATTTTCCAGGAAGTTAGACGCTGTTTAATTTTCAAATTGGAATATCAAATGTCTGAGTAGGGAGTCAACTATCGGTAGATAATGAGGACAGACAGCCTTGAACTTCTTTTATGATTAATGAGTATATGTCAGGTGTTTCAACATCAAAAGAAACGTTCTTGTAATGCAGGGCTCTGTCAAGCCAGCTTCAACTCAGCAGCACATTAGGATGATTACTACTCAGTGGAATCCTTTCATTCCTGTCCTACACAACCTCCTTCCCATGGATACGATCTTGCCGTGCCATGTTGATTCCTAACATACCTTGCACCATCTTAACCTCTGGTAATATTGTATAATTTAAATATCCCACTAATTGGCAGATTTAAATGAGCCCAATAGTCAATTTGACACGCATGTGTGACATGCAGGAGAATACCTGGGGGCGAGTGTGTAATTTTTGAAAGAAGTGCAATCCACATTTTATTTTGTATCTTCATCCTGAACAGCCAGTCAGCGTCATTTTCCTAGTCTACATGACCAGGGACTAGTTAAGGAATGTGCATGCAGCCCATGGAGTCGAGGTTGTGTCCCGCTGAACATGCACATGTGCCCCTTCTCTCTCACATGTGTCCATTTGTTCTTGTGTGTTTGCTAACATGTTCAGTCCTGCTCTGTATTGTCTGTGTAATGTAGACTGTTTCCCTACAAGCCCTGGCTTACATGAACAGCGCCATCTTTTCTATCCTCTTTTACAAGCATTGCTTGTTTATAATTTCAGGCATGCAAGGGTACTGTTATTTCTATGATAACTTTCTTTCATTTGAAGTTTTACTTTGATAAATTTGTGAAAAGTATGGAAATAAACATTGCATTGCATTGAACTGAACAGTAAAAAACACCCGCTGTACCTGAAAGCATTATTTGTGGCACTCTCATTAACTGAACTCATCTAGCCAAACTCCCCGGGGTGATTGCTAGATGAGTTCAATTCATGAGAGTTAACATACAAAAATAGAGAGTTTCTTCCCAAATTTACTTTTTTACTTCTTTATTTAAACACAATAATGGGTAAAGAGAAAACAAAACAGCAAAATGTTGATGAAAGCTTACTTGTGAAAAAAATTGAAAAAACACGTTGGAGAAAACTTTGGCATGTGTAAGACTGAAAGAACAGACTTTCTAAAGATTCAAAATAAAAATAAGACCAGCAACGAAAACATTAAATTAAGGAAATGACAACAGAAGCAGGGAAAAACAGAAACACTTAGTTGGAGATCAAAATGCCAAGAGAACGAGCACAATATAAAGGGATGAATTTCCAGCCCCTTTTGAACTTGACCAACTCTACAAACTGGACATTAATTCTCTCGCTAAGAAAAACTACAGTCTAGGGGTATACATGTGCACTATGAAGTGGATAAGGATGTATCCTCCCCCCCTTTCCGGGGTGCTGGTGATATAAATGTGAATTATTGATTGCACAGAACCCTACCCATGATGACAACCGACACAACAGCATCTAGACATGATGTCCCGTGTTGAAATTATTGATGAACCACTGACGGGTAGGGTGTGATCTCTGACCGAAGGGAAATGTGGTTAAAAATTGTGTTGCTGGTGGCGACTGTTCAATAACTAATACCATGCATATTCATGATCACAGACTGTAAAGTGACCAATCCACATGGGATTCATTTATGTTTGATTAATCTTATTACACAAAGTTAATTTCTCTCTTCTTTTATCAAGAGTGAATTAAAATTTATTGAATTTATCATTCATTCGGTTGTTTCAAATTCCATCAACGTATCAGGGAAGTTAAGGGAGAAATCACCTAGTCGGAAGAAGTCCTACTGAGCTTTTGTTTAATTAAACTGTTATCTACGAAAAAAATGTTTGTAACATGGCGGTTGTTTTTGATGAATGAAAGGAATCAAATGTTAGTAACAGAGTTTGTGACTTTTAAAAGGAAAGAAAGAATACTTTCCATAATAGAATCACTGTCTTACCCCATCTTGTGACCAAGATAAGCAAACATGATGGATGATTTCACCAACAGAGGGCGCTGTTTAAAAATGGGAAACTGTCTGATTGACTGTCTGAGGAGGTGTAGTATAAATTTGTTCTATGCTGACTTGACTACAAATTCTAACCCAATTTTCTTTGAACTCTTGCAAAAGTGAACCAAAGACAAACATATCAATTTTGTTCTCTTTTTCTGTCAAGTATCCTTGCTATATGTATATAATTTTCCGATCAAATTTCTTCGAAACAGGTTTCGTTTCCTGTAATGGTTTCACTGGCATTATGCAGTTTCCTCTTTAAAAACTTCCACACATTACTCAAATCCATCTTTTAGCCAAAGGATCTAAATAGAACTTGTCAAAACAAGTCTGAAACATGTTTTTAAAATCCACTTGGCCATACTACTTTACATTGTAGGTCTCTCAAAAACTCTTGTAAAAGCACCGCTTGAAATAAGACGTGGGCCCTTGGTTTTTTCCTTAAAAAAAGACTCTCATGTTCCAGTCTTATTTACTGTTTCTGCTGTGAAAATTTATACTGTATCTCAAGAGGTTTCTTCAAAGAAACACAAGAAGACAGTGTGCGACAAGAAGGAGAAAAAGGAAAATGGGGGAAAGGATGATGCCCAGCCCTCAGCAGAGAAAATTGAAAACTGCACTTGGGAAGTGATCGATGTATTGATTTCAACTCAAGGGCTGAACAGATAAATACCCGAATATCCAATGCAAAATAGCCATGGCCATAGCCTTTCATTAACTGCAGAGGTCACTATTTGCTACTGGGTAGTCAAATGGAAGGTTTTGCACTGTGTTTTTGGTGATACAAGATGAAAAAACCTGTCATCTTCAGACAAACTCAGTTTGAGCTGTTGCTGAAATTTAGACAGAGTGGATAACTCTAGTATCTCTTTTACAAATACAGGACCTTTTCTCTGTCTATACATGTAGATGCAATGCAGTCAAACTTCAAAAAATTAAACTAAAGAGGTCAAACACAGAGAAACAAAAAATATAGTGAAACCATCAAGTTGTGCAAAGTGACGGTAACGACATGTAGACTACAAAAGAAAAGTGTACATAGCATTCAAGAGAGAAAAGGTATGATCTGATTGGTCAAAAGTCAGTGGTGATGTCATGCATGACAATTAGTCATAAATATTCAGCTGCAATGAGCAGTGAATGGTTTAAAAGTAAGCATGCCCTTGTCAGACTCCAAACAAATTGAATAGTTCATTTGATGACGTGCCAAAATTTTTATTGTCATGACAAACGTCTTTGTATAAATAATTTACATGTATTGGGGGATGCTTTCAAAAAAAGAACATTTCATATTCAGGTTACAGATATAACCAAGCTTTTCCTCAATTTCACAAAGAAGCACCAGTCAAAGAGTGATTATGTCATTGTTTCATGCTGTGGTAGGTTTTTACACAATTTTAGGAATGAAAATTTTTCAAATTTGTAATTTTTCAAAATAAGTGTTCATTTAGTATATAACTGAACAAATGAAATCAGAATGCAACTACAACCAAATAACAAAATAAAATGAAAACAAGAAATGAAATTCTGAAATCTACAACATCAAATTCTAAACCGTAGATTTCTTCATCCCAACCTCTAGCACAAGACTCCATGCTGTACATCAATCAACAGGAGTCAGAGATGGCAAAATGAGTGATTAACAGGGTTATAACCCCTCTTTTGGTCAATAAAAACCAGGGTTAAACAGGGGAGGTCTTAAACTGGGGATAATCAACTAGGGTGGTATAAACACGAACACTAGGTTTTTGGTAAATTTTTGGTTAAGAAAATTATCTGTTCCTACAACAGCTTTAAGTAGGGCAAGAATTCTTACCAGAAATAAACTTTCCTTTATTACTTCAGTGGGTTTTTGTTTGGTTTGGTTTTGTTTTTTGAGGGGCATGGGGTCAGAGAATCACTGTTTGCCATCTTTGATTTCCAATAGTGGGTCTCATCAGAGCCAGCGCACGTGTGTGTGTGTGTGTGCTACTTAGGTGCTCTTTCATGAACATGCTTAGTTGCATAATTGCTTTGGTTTGAAAATTTAAAAAAAAAAATATTCGTCTCTACTAACTGTGCACTGAAAAAGTCCTAATTCTTAGATCAACATGTACATGACTTTAAAAAAAAGGTAACTAAAGTTTTGAAAAGTTGTGATTGCACAGATTCACATGCATGGAGAGTCTCAGCAAACATGCAGTGTAGTGCTTCCTTGTTTTCAAACATTGATAATCTGATTTTATTTAATGGTTGTGAAACTTGAATTCTAAATGTACATGTATGAATGGCTAAAAAAGCTAACAGCAATTTGGAAAGTTGTTAAATCTTCCTAGAGCTCAAGGAATGCATAATTCAAATGGCTGACTGGAAGTACTAGCAGGAGAATCTTTGAAATCTGAACAGTAATCAAAGCTTATGGTACTTTGTTTCAGGTGTCTACTAATTTTTGTTATTCTTGATTTTCCTTCTGTGAGCACACACGCACATCTACTACAGATCTGAGAGCCCGCCTATCATATCAGACCTTGAGTATTTGAAGAGAGACTGTTCAGTCCCGACGAAGTTGTTTTGCGGTTACCAACCTCTTGCACCAGACACTGATCTGTGAGAAGGGCGGAAGAGGGCGGTAATAGAACCTGATGTTAGAAAGGGTGGCGGTGCGGTGGGAGCAGTGTTAAATGAGTTAAAATAAGTTAGTTTATTCATAGACACCAGTTTTCTTCTCATATTTGGGAAACGAGATTATGGAGTAAACAAAAAGATCATAAATCCACAAGGTAGACAACCAGTACATTGAATTATAGAAATAAGGAAGTATTGCATATCTGTAACTGCTGCTCCGAGCTGACAACCACGGAACTTGAAGATGGTGCTGTGCTATCCTCTCAGTACAGGCACCATTGAGGGTGCTACACCCATTTGTTAATGAGAGGGTTAGGTTCATAAAGGAAAACAAGAGCCTTTTCCAAATCTTGGCTTCATCTTGAGTCCCAATCAGTTGGAAACATTCACTGTGAAACAAACTGAAGATATTTCAAATAGTGGTCTCAGGTTAGACAAATGAAATATCCATGTTGAGCTTGAGGATCTCAAATTGAGCGAGTAAATTAAAAAACCTGAGGCTGAAGACAGGGGTTATTATATCTGAGATTTGGGAGACTCTAAAGGTTGAAAGGCACTGGATGCTGGGCACCAAGAGCACATAGACCCAGCCTCTCTCTCTATATCAGCAACGAGGGCGTTCTTGTGCACAAAGCAGACAGCATCCTGTATTTGGTTGAACTATATCATCCTAGAGTTGCCTTGAAGGACAGGGAAACAACAACGTTGTACCTCCTATGTCCTCAGCATCATTCTCTAGAAAGTATTGATCATTTTGGCACTTCATGAAAGAAAACGGTGTGACAGTTATAACATTAGTGGAAGAATATTTCCATCTGTGAGTTTCAAATGAAAGGAAATCTATAATTGGTAATGAAACTACCATTCAGCAGATAGCCTCTAGCTTGACCAAAATTAATGTAATATAATGAACAACTCCTTAGCCACGTTGAGCTATATTTTACGAGATACTGTAGGTGAAACAATACAAAAGAACAACCATTTAGTAGTTGGCCCCTTCTGAAAAAGTAAAATCACTTCATCTTTATCGGTACTACTTCACAAGCCCCTCAACATTCTTTTGACTGAAAGAGAAAAATAGGCTGCAGGTTAATACTGACTTTCTTTTTAAGTTCCTGTAAAGTGATGATATTAATAACATTCTGTTTTAAACAAAAAGTTCTCTCAGTCAGAGAGAACTTTCAGACAGTTCTCTGATCATTTCAGAGCCACAATATTTGATAGGGAACAAGGTCTAAATAAAGCTGATATTTTCAGTTTGACAGGTGTTGTATCCTCACATAAATAGAAACTAATTTGAAGCAGTGACTACATGTAGGTTCTCTCTTGCAAACACACCAGCCAACACGAACTCTGTGCTATGTACAACATGTACGTGTACAAGCAATATTAAGAAGACATGGCCTACAGCACTGGCATTTGGGTCCATGACAGGTTTGCACGTTTCACATTCAATTTAATTTACCAGTTTCTCTACACCTTGCATCCACATGCACCGAGGGCTGGAAACTAACTTTGGGTATAACTGCACATTAGGTGCGACTGGAAAATTAACCAATTGCCATGGTTACCACCCCTCAATCATGTTTCTCTTTGAATACCCAAATGAATATACATGTACTTAAAAAACAATAAGCAAAAAAAAAAAAAATAAGGTGAAATTGGAACTTATTTTCCATAAAACTGACCCTATTTCCTACAGGCCTAATTGGGTTCACAAACAGGTGTGAGTCAAATTTAATAAGCAAAACAATCTTCTTTCAGTTGTAAAAATGCCGTACTTGATTGTGTTTGGGGTTTTTTTAAACTTAAGACACATGTATCTCGACTTTTTCAGTGTGTACAGGTTGCCAAATTCTATTGGGAGTACAAAGATGAGTTCCTACATCAGCCTAGAACACGGACATTTTCCTCCACAGAATTAACTTGTGGACAGTTGCACAATGTCCTACAAACTGAGTAACTGCACAGGTGTAGCATAGCATTATTGACTTTGCTTGATGTGCAGAGATTAATTGCAACACTACTCAACCATAGCGTGAAGACCACAAATGATGGATCATATTGTCTAAGATGATGACGTCAATGCCCGCATGAGTCATATAACACTCACAATAATGAACACTCCACCACAAAGAAATGGAAAGTACATACATGTAAATGTATACCCTCGTAGTCAGGCAGCATGGTAAATCGATTTTAAGTATTCTCTGCACTACTAAATTGACCAGTCACACAAATCAAAGTGGTTGAGTAAAATCGGCACAAGTGGTGCATGTACATCAAACAAGAGACCTAATTTAAGTTCACAACTTGTGAACTTCTTTTTAGGCTCTTGAAAAGTACTTGACGAAGCTCTTAAAAAGGAAGTTGGTACAAAAGGCTGAATGAGAATTTAAAGCAGAATCCCAGCTGACTCACCTGTCTCCCTGTTCTTCAAATTAATAGAGTGTATTTATGCAAAACAATTTAAGTACATTATCTAAGGAGATAGACCACAGAGTGCAGACACATCATTTGTATCCCGTCTGACAACCACTCAGTTCTAAGCCAATTTCTCTGTGACTATTAAAGTTTCATTAATTCAGCTAATTGCCTGTTGTGTTTGGCTAGCGATTACAACTGAGGTTTGACCATCTTGTACTAAACTACTAAGCCTAAGCTGAAATTTACCGTCAACCTCCCAAGGTCGGACCATGCTGGCCTACACTAATTAACCTGACAGAAATATTGCCAAGACCATTTATCAAATCTCCATCTTCAGCAGGCAACAGTATGTAATATTTTGGCTCCACAAACATCCAAGATGTATTGATGTAATTATGCTTAATGTGCATCTTTCTACTCATTCCAAGCGACAAAATGAAGACCAATCATTCCCGGATCATAGACGAAACTGAGGCCCACAATGAAAGATGATGAGTAACAACGAATCAAAGATATATTCCGATGCAATGCAGCATTAACCATATGCTGCCAGGTATAATTAGAATTTGCATGACAAGTTCACGGGGAATTTTCACAATTTTCCTTTTTCAAAATTCTTCAAAAATTCATAACTTCATTTACTAGACGTTTACACCCACATGAATGACTGTCTGGTGGCTACTCTAATCTGACAGGCAACATTTATTGACGCCCAAGTATTTTAGCCAGGCCTGCCACCTTGTAAAGTGAGCCCAGTTTGTGTGGTGTTGCATAATTTTCTTTTGTTCTCGAAATTGGCCCAGTGCGCTGCTGACGTCTTTTCAAATGCGGCCAGATTAGCGTGCAGCAGTAATGTATCACTCATCACTGGAGTGCTGGAGCACTTTTGTCTCTGGTGATAATCCACTTTCCCTGAATGCCACAATTAGTCGTATACTGTTTCAAAACAATGACGGATTACCTCTGCTACTGACAACTCAAAAAAAATGGGCAATTCCCAGCATCTCGGTCTTTTGTTCCAAGTACGGTCCTTTGTTACAAGGCTCAGCTCCTTTGTCCGATTTTGGGCACCCCGGCTACGCAGTGCAGGAACCGCGGCACAAAGTGGTTAAGAGTGTACTACAGGTATATCAAACAGAAATGACTAAATTTAACAAATTTCACCAATCAACTTCCTGTCAGAAATGGGCTGCAGTTCTCAGTGGAGATGGGGCTTCTTGTGTAATTAAGGGCCTGGCTTCTTGTCAGGGTGGGGCTTCTTGTCAGGGT